GTCCGGGGTCCTCGACAGGCAATTTAAGTCTAGACGTTGAATGGAATGCGCTAACACAATAAATGAGTTACAGTTTTATTGAACAGACAGGTTTTAAGATCCAATTGTTAAGACAACATATAGGAGTACATCATATTGACTTTTGATTAAATATTGTACACTTCAGTTTCTAAACTAGTGTAATTTCACACTAATGCACAGTTGAAATTATGATTCAATTGATACCGGCAAGACAGACCATGTGTGCAAACATTACATCATGATTGTCAAATACATAGATAGGCAAAAGGAGGAGAATGGAAATTTGACTTGGTGCTGTGTCAATCAAACACACCATTAGAATATAGCATAAGCATAAGATCAATACTTATCCAAAAAGAAAAAAAATGATTTGGTCAAAATTTCCATAAAGGTGTCCAAAGACCGCTTTAAGAGGCTGTTGTACAGAGATATTATTAACATAGATGATTATAGGTACGTAAGGTACATATAAAGATAACACTTGGATAGGTAGATTACTTATCACAAAAAGATCTTGAAATTACATTATACAATACCAGATTTATTAGATTCTAAGCCACACGCGAATCTAATCCGCACTTGTAATGTAACAGGAAAGACTACCATAAGGTCCCTCAATTCCAAGCAACACCCAGACTTTTGAGTTTGAAAATTGAAAAAAAGGGTGCAGCTTCGAATAAAATACATAAATGCGATAATGTGTTGAAGATGGAAGTTTGGTCACGCCGAAATAGATGCTAAAATTAATCATCCTGCTGAGAAAGCCATACTCCTCAATAAATTGACATACAGTCTTTTTCCTAAACAGAGGGAGTAAATTACTATGAAATGACTCTTTCACTGAGGAGACGAACTCTTATCAAATGATCCAAGAAAGCCATGAAAAATGTTGGGATTTAACGATGATGAAGAGAAAGATGAGGACGGCAGACTTGCAAAAGGTTTCTCACTAGAGTATAAAACAAGACTGCTGTTTGTGTTGTTAGAGTTGCTGTTAGTACTACTAGTACTGCTGCTGCTGCTGCTGCTGCTACTGCTGCTGCTGCTGCTGCTGCCACTGCTACTACAGCTGCTGTTACTACTACTGCTACTTTGATCGCTATTCTGGCAATCACTGGCAAGGCTAAGACCTGATAAACTATCTAATAAGTCTTTAACCTGGGTCTCAACCTGCTCCTTCGTTTCACTTAAAGATAGGCGAGATGAAAAGGTACTTAGCAGCTCAGCCTCTGCTTCTTGTCCCCTTTTTTGAAGAAAGAGTGTTATCATTTCAACAATCTGCAATAAATAAAAAAATCAAATAACAACAACAACATTGGCAAGTTGAGTATGAACATAGCTAAACCAGTCTTAAACTTCTCAAATAACAAAGTAATTAAAAAATAGTAATAATTTTAGAATCTCTGAATTTAAATGTGTAATACATACCTGTAAAGCCTGCTTGGCTACAAAAGAATTATCATACACAGGTAATTCATTAAATGTTTCCTGTTTATGTGGAGTAGGTCTGCTGCCTCTGTCTTTTGTGAGGTAAATTGTAATAGTGCCATCATTAGACATATGCTTCTGAAGGAGTTTTAACTTAGACTGTGCCAATTGCAAAGGACTCCGTCCATGCAAATCACTTGAACAAACATCAGTGCCTGGCGGAAAAAAAGCTTATATTATATATCATTTTAAGATAAGATTATTACCCAGCCAAGGCAGTCAAAAATTACAAATGAAAAACCTCACAAAAGCCCCCAAAAATGATGACTTTACATACCAGCTTTAAGCAATAAAGTCACAACAACAATATTGTTTGTGCAAGCTGCTAAATGTAATGGGGTGTTTCCTAAACGATCTCGCTGATTAGGATTGGCACCATTTTCTAACAGTAACCTGAAATAACAATGCTGTATGATAAATCAAATAATGCAAAAATAGTTTTGCAGTTGATTCAGCTTTTTTTTTTTTTTTTTTTTCACTCCTGCATCCAGGAGTATGGTTGGATTGGCAAGTTGGTCTAAAGAAGCTGTTATCAACCTGCCACCTGCATGCGTATGATTATGGTATAAAACATAATGAAAAGGGTTCGGTATGAACCGACCCGAAGATATGAGTTTAAGACAAATTACCTGACTATGTCTGCATAACCACTGCATGCAGCTAGATGAAGTGGAGACCTTCCCATGGAATCAATGCAATTTGGACTCACACCCGAAAACAAATAGCTTTGGACTAGCTCAATATTATTCGATGATACAGCCACTCGTAACTTCCGCTCAACTGAAACAAATTTGATTTGTAAAAATGTATGTGTGGGACAGCACAAGTAAATGAATAAAGAACTTTGCTTTTGGCGTTACCTTGACCTTGACTGTCAAGACCTATAAGTCTACTTAGTAGGTGTGAATAGCGTGAAGGGTGTTTAGGAACACGTCTTTTTACTTGCATCTTATTACTTCCACAAAACCCAGGAGGAAGAACAGATGGTGGAAGTTGAAGATCAGGGAGAAATGGTGGCCCTAATGGGCAGCCAGTCTAGAAAAATAAAGTTTAACAATTTTATAACTTAAGTTCAAATTTGGGTTAAAGAGTCGTGTGGTTTTCAAACTACTCTTACCATACGTAAGCCATTCATGGGATAGAGTTGAGGGAAACTACCAGTTGATATATGTTCCACCACTGACATTTCATTCTTTCCATCCAATGGGCCATCATTACTTTCATTTCCAGTCTCTACCCCTGAATCAACTGAGGCCATGTCAACAGACTGCATTAACTGTGGAAAAAAATAAATTTGCAATTAAAGAGAAGGATGATGGATTTCAGCAAAGGAAAGTAGTGAATAAAATAAAGTGGATATAAAGAGGGGTTAGAAAGCTTCTAAAATAGATAGCTTTTCATACATTCTAGAGTGCTGAGAGTAGGTTACTGGAGAAATAAATGATCTAAATGGTCTGGGTGGGATATCTTGAAGTGGATAGAGGACAGAATGAACTCAATAGATTGTGCTTAATTTCACAAGTTGTTGTTGAAGTTGTCAAGTTACCTTGTTCTCTACCTTTTTCCACAAAAAAGATGAAAAGTAGACCTGGCAATGGACTAAAATATCGTTTAACGCAACGGCAAGCTTATAATTACTCTATATGTGACAGAAACTTGAAAATATTGACTACTGTAAACTCAAGTAAACACAAAAATCACAAATGACTAGGAGGGTGAAAGGTGAAATTCAGCTGGCTGGTCTTGTTGTTATTTTTGTTTGTTTTCATACACCACCCTGATTGGTCAAACAAGTTCCCCCACTACTCAGTGTAAAAACCAAAACAATAGGATGAGAATTTTAAAGCACGTTCTGCTTCTGCTACATCAGAATAAACGGGCCGTTCCGTTATCGTTGTCGTCAATGTGTGAACGTTCAAAAAACTTGCCATAACCTTACTTAAATTGCATTGAATTCCCTATATAATACTTTGTAACGTATCGTGGTAACATTGGTCTGGATATGAAGAATGTGTTCCAATCAGTTTTAAAGTTTGAAAAGCCCGCGCTAGTTGCCCCGATTCCTATGTAAAACCCTGGCTGAACGTCAGTTGACATGACAATGCCGTCTCCCTCAACCATCAACGCCGTTACTGTACTTTCGCGCGCTCAACCGACGTTTCAGAAGGTCTTTCTTATACCTACCTTCTGTTCTTAATTCTACGTTTGATCTCTGAACCGTTCTTCAGCTCGAAGGCCAAGTTGAACACGCCGTAAGTAATAATCACCGTTTTCAGAGGCATCTAATGTCTTTAGTGTCAAGCCATTTTCACTAAAGTCCAACCCTCAGTCGCATTGCCTTTGTGAAGATTTTTCTCCTTTTCCACCATAATAATTACACAACAAGATACTTACTGCTAAAGGAAACATTTCAACTACGCTCGTAGCCAGTTTGAGACTTCTGAATCTCTCTCAACACTCATCGCTCGTTGCCATACGCTGTTGCAGCGTTTCTTCTACCGGTGCTAGAGGTTATTATAAGACAGTTTTCATTACAGATGGACATCGCAGGTGGTGAGGCCCAGGCCTTCCTTGTGAATAGTAATGACGCCCTGGAGTTTAAGTTAGGTACTTATTACAATTTCTCCTGCTCATCTTTTCCTCGATAGTGTAATGTTACTGCCAACTAAATATGTAATTGTTTTAGTTCGACACCCAGAGGACTTGAAAGATGAGGAAACAACGTTTAAGCCAGATATGTCACACCAGGTATTTGGGGACAAGTATGTATTGCTTTTGATAATGATAATTTTTTTAAAAATATCATGGTTTTCACCCTTTAATATAAATTTAACTAATCATGTTTTCAAATTCTAGCGAAACCATTTTTGGGTACAGAGATTTGCATGTCAAACTCTATTACACAGCTGGGAGGCTTACAACATACATGAATGTTGATTACAAAGAGAAGGCAGATCCTGATAAATTTGAGGGTGTTGAAGTATGTTTTTAGTGAAAGTTTTAATTTATTGTTAAAAATTGAATCATTGTCTCAAATTATTTTTCTAAACTTGCAGGCTGATGACATCCCAAGAATCTTAGCTGAGAAATTGCAGCCAGGCTTCTTGTCTAACCTGGACACATTTGTTGCTAGTCTGAGCAAGGAGTCAAAGTTTACTCCTTACGGCGAGTTGATCAACTCATTTAAAACTGGTAGAGGTAAAGGATTAAATTATCTTTAATGGTCAGTGATGAGGTATTGCCAGTGAGGAAAAATTGCATTGATGGGCTGTTTATTGAACACTCCCCAGATGATGTTTAAGTTTTCAATCTGAGGCAACCACCTCAACCTTGTTTGAGTGTTGGTTTAGGCTAATGATGATAATGGTTTGTTCGAGTATTTGTTGATGCAACTTAATTCTGCAAGAGTATGTAAAGTTGAGGCTATCACAGCAGTAACTTATGTGATGTCTCAACATTTATTTGCATTTGTGGAAGTTTTGTTGCTCCATTTGTTCACATACCTCTGAAGCTCCTTTATCAATTCTATTAATTACATATTATTTACCTGCCAGTGTTTCGTAAATTACAACTATTGTTTAATTCTAGATGGGAATGAGCCTTGCACTTATGAGATTTATCTCTGTGATACATCCAACTCAGAATTCATTAAGTACCATGAACGACTCCAAACCTTTATTTTGTGGTACATTGATGGTTCATCATATATAGATACTGATGATTCCAATTGGAAGTTCTTTGTATGGTAAGCTGTGATTTGGCAATACACTTCAATTATAACCCATATCCCCTCTAACCTTTTACTTATTTTTTAATCTTAGCTATGAAAAGTACAAATTGGATGGTAAAACTATGTATGCCATTGCTGGATATGCTACTGTGTATCAGTATTATGCGTATCCTAAGAATATTCGTCCACGGATCAGCCAGTTTTTGGTATTGCCTCCCTTCCAAAGGCAAGGAATTGGAGCAAATTTGCTTCGCACAATTTACAACAATTTCAAAGGCCAGGATAAAGTTCTGGATATAACAGGTATACTTGCTATTGTTATTGTCATTCAATGTGACTATGTGTGTTGAGGTCTAACCTTTGACATTTTCTTTTTAAAGTTGAAGACCCCTCTCAGGATTTCCAGTATTTAAGAGATTATGTTGATTGTGAAAACATGATGAAGTTGGCCAGCTATCAGACTAAACAGCTTAAAGATGGGTTTTCAGAGGAAATGGCTCAGGAAGCAAGATCAAAGCTTAAAATCAACAAGGTATTCTATTAAACCTGTAATAATATTTTGATTTAACGTTCCATTAAATGCTGTTAAATTATTTATCTGTCACTTTTCATTCAGAGACAGGCAAGGCGTGTTTATGAAATTCTGAGGTTGAAAGCAACTAATAGGAAAGATAAAGAAGATTATAGGCAATATCGGCTAAATATCAAGAGACGTCTCAACACCCCTTTTCAGGTAATTTGTCTGAAACAAGTCATACAACTTTCAATTCCTAATCTGTATTGATCATTTAATTTTCTTCTTTAGAGAGAAAAGAAGACAATTCTAAAGCTAAAATGTGCCCTTGATGAAGATGAATTGAAGGCTACTGAACACCTTAAAAGCCAAGAGCAGCGGCTTGAAAACCTCGATCGTCAATATAGAGAGCTAGAACAAGACTATCAACATGTTATTGAACGTTTAGCCTCTAGCCTGTCATGAGTCTTCCTTTCCCCCAATTTTTACAATCCTTTCTCCGTACTTAACCTGTAGTGTTCTCAGAATTATTTTTTTGGTCAGAATATCTGCTTTACTCAATCATTTATTTCCTTACATTATCATTCATTGGTTTTATTGAAGAATGCCGCATGTTGTTTTAATATCTAGTCTGCACATATTAATTTGAGATATGGTTATACTGAAATAGCTAATTTTAACCTTGTAATTTCTTTTACCCACACATTGATTGATGTATTCTGTTGAAGTAATAAATAAAAAGATGAAACTGATAATATTTATTTTCAAAACAGTACTTTTGCCTTTTAATGAAAGATAAGTTTGTTACACCATGAAAACACTGTATAGTCATCTATAATTATCCTATCCTATTCAACCTGCATCAGTATAATTCAAAGTTCAACCTGAAATTCACATCAGATCAAGCTCTTGCAGTTAAAAAGGAATAGTCTGGCAGTTAAGCAATTCTCTTCACCATAATAGGTCATGTTATACGCAAAATGTCAGTGTGATGCAAAAATACACAGTATTGTAAGCAGTGGTGTTCACAAAAATTCTTCCATTTACTTAATACTAAAAGGCATGTTGTATTAAGAAATAACAAGATGTTGTGCTGATAAATCAGCACCAATAAATAAAGACTCAAACACTTGTGCTAACATGGAGTGTGATTTCCAGTAGTGCATAGGTCACACATGGGAAAGACAATAACAAACATCTGGTGTAACAGAATAAATATCTGCTGCATGTTGCCAGATTAAACAGGTACACACTAATCATACATAATAGTCAACAATTCACTACAAGTCTGTGTATATTCATGGTCCGTTTCTTGTGGCATAGAGCCTTCTACAAGGCTACTACTCAAATATAGGAGAGGTGCATGCCAAACAAGGTGGACGTACAAAAGGCATATAACGCAAATAAAGAAACAAAAGTCTTGCAGGAAAGTGGCAAAGAGCATACAAGCAATAGTTAATACTATCAGACTTTCTGCAAGTATATCAAACCAAGAATAATAATACACAGCTTGAGCAAACCTACATAATAATTATTATACACCTCGCAACAGGGTTAAATAACATTCCAACACCTTTCTGTGATGCACGGAAAATTGAAATTGAAACAAACACTACTCAAAGAAAGTTTTGAGATCACCATTTTGATTTGATCTACAAAATACATGACTCAGCTTAGTTCAGACAAGCCAAGAAATGTGTTGATTGATCAGAAGCTTTAGGAAATGTCGGCAATAATATTAACATGGACCAGATAAACTGCTTCCATGATTGCCTCTCTTGCATATATTTTTGGATACCAACGTCTACCTTATAATCACTGTCTGCCAAATTTAGTGGGATCAGAAAAACTAAGATTTAAAATTTTCAAATCTGATACAGGAACAAACATTTAAGAGAAATTATCAAGAATATAGAGACAGCTAAAAATAATTGAAAAAAAAAGGGAACTAAGGGTGTAAGTGTTATAAAAAGTTAGTAATTTTCATACCAAAAGAGATTTACATTTCTGATTTTAACGAGTTCTAACACATCATTTACAAAGAAAACAAAATTGAAAAATTAAATAAAAACCATGAATACCTGCATGATAAACACAATTTGTTTTTCTTAATTGAGCAAAACCACAATATTAACACATAACAGAATTTTGGATAAACTCAAGTTTAGCATAGGGCTGATGAACACAAATCTGTAAAATAAGTTAGAAACCTGCTGCATCTTGAACTGAATATGAGAGACATGGAAAGAAACAATCCTGATAGAGATCATTTTAAGAAATCTTCAGTCTTATGTTAGATTTCTTCCCTTGTTAGATCAGATTAAAATGAAACCAATACATGTTACCCACATGAACAGGAAATGGGTATAATAGAATCAAATAAAGGTAAAATGAGAAACGGTGATCATTGACATGACTTTGAGTATGGCAAGATCAGCTTGGTTGAAATAGTTCACAGACCTAGCTGATGCTTCCAAAACTCAACTACATTAAGGGGTAATAGACTAAAAAGAACACAAAGTTGGAATAAGCTCATTCATAAAAGAAAATATATATCTCATCCAGACAAAACAATACAGATTGAACCTGCATTATGAGCATGAAATCCAAGAACACAGCCATAGCTCAGAAGCAGTTTCCTTCACACAAAATAATTTAAGTCTAAACTCAAAAATAAATTACTTTCCCTTCAAAAATAACTAACAACACATCAGGGAAAAACATTAAGAGCTTATAATAGCAATTTCGTGGGGGTCACACACTATTCACTGACATTTAATCTATGCAGTCCACCTGAAACTGCCTCTACTTCTGCAAAACTTGCATTAGTTATTAATATAGGGTCTTTTTCACTTGTACCAACACTTTCATCACTAGTACGAGCATCAATACTCTCCATGGACCGTGATTTGAAGAGATTGCTGGATAGCTCCCCATCTAATGGGAATGCTATGAAAGGGACTGGATCCATATTAGCATGTGATGAGCAATGAGGCAAATGATCTGGCAATTCTGATTCATTCTCGCTCCTTGTTCTGGACCTTCTTTGCATGTTCCTACAAGATTTATAAGCACATTAGAATAATACAATGCAATAGATAAACATATCCTAACTGCTTTGATATATACTTACCCATATGATTGTATGGGTCCATAAGGATGCATTCTTGACATCCTATCTCGAGCTTTTTCTAGGAATTTCTTTTCAAAAGCAGATGACACGCTATAAACACGTTTCCGCATTGGTTTGCATGCAATCTGTTTTGCACTAACAGCAAAACCTTTTTGTATGATAAATTTGTGCTTTGCAGAACTTGAAACTGCTCTTGAGCCCATTTCAGGGTTTTTCAATATATCATCGATGGAAAGAGCAGCAAGTCTTGGTATCTGTTCATCGACAACTTGAGGTCTGTTGACAATACTAGTGCTGAGCATTCCTAAATTGTCGAGAGCTGCATCTATTGCTGCATTTGTCATGACACTTCCTGACATGGACATTCTGAAAATAAAAGAAAGGAAACAGGATTAGAAAAAAGACTAAAGTAACAATTTTTTCAACAATCTCCAGAAAATTTTAAAAGACCCTTCTGAGAGCCTGATTTTTCTACAGGAAACAATTTATTATACCTGTGCCACACCTCACTTTTTAACCAACAATCATACAGTCATAGAGAAACAGAAAGGAGATTAAAATCAGGGTTAAAGTGAAATTTGAATATAGAACTTGAAACATGTTAGTTTCCATTCAAGTAGGAAGGACAAAGCATCGTAAAATACTGTTCAGACAAAATTAATGTCACTAACATGTTCACGTTTCACAAAACTGAAAGGCAAAGATGGAAAATGATGGAGTATGAACACAAGAGAAATTGAATGCTGAAGGTTCAGGGGCAGAAGAGCAATTTTAAATGGGAAACCAGCTTGAGTTTAATACCCACCTGCAGTAGACAGTTTTGATGTGAACGGGTGGCCGAGTGACAAACGATTGCAGGGCCTTTGTGCTTCAGCTTAAGTCTTTATGGAACCCCATAATGAGTTTCCAAACAAACACAGGATTCAAAAGCAGACAGAATCATAAAGATTAGGAATGTACAAAATTTTGTCCAGAGATGAAGCAATTAATTCCAAAAAATTATCCCCAGGCTCCATCAGCTGAGCACATAAATAAAGGAACCTCAACTTCAGTGTTTACCACCCTATCTCATACCAACAACAATGGTAACTGGAGGTAATTCGCAAAAGCAAGCAGCAAGAAAACGCTGCGATGAATGAAAGATTAATCCTGTGAAGTCAAATCAACAATCGACAAAAGTTTCTATGACTTTTTCTGACGAAAATAACGTGCAGAGCGCATTAAATCGACACCACAAAACTCCAACTACCTCCGCCTCCACCTCCTCCTCCTCAGCCAAGTAAGGGGTATATCCAGTGACCAAACAGTGGAAAGCGCTAGGCTTACCCGCTTTTTACAAGGGGTTGGAAAGCATTCTATTTGACTTACTTTGACTTAAGCCGATGCTGTTTTGTTGAAGACTGAATTTTAGTTCGTGAATATCAGCAAACATTAGACGAAAATACAGAAATGTTTTGAGTTGGGCGAGGCAGACCAGCAACTTGTTTCCACTTCCCACTTGTCGGTCACTGGATATGCCTCCGTGTGATAGCCTCGCTGCTTGTGATCCGACGTCCTCGGGTGTAAGCAGAAGCCAACACCCCATCTGCACAAAATCCCTGACAAAATACAAAAAACCCTTAGAATATCTACAAAATGATCTCATATCTATTTTATAGTCCCATATTCTACATCTGGGATTTCGTGACGTGTTTGTGTTTCTCGATTGACAGGATGGTACTATGCTGATGAAAAATTCAACGTCCATTTTCATCAAACTAGGGCATACCACCTTAACTTCTAAAAATTCAGTTTGTCATCTATTTTTCTTTTGTGGAGAAAAGACTCAATGTGGTTTTAAATTACACTTCTGTCGATTTGGTTTATACTTGTGGTTATTAGATGAGCAATGAGTTTTATGAAAACGTTGTAATAAATACTTTGTATACTGTTTAGCTAGAGTTATTGTCTCTGGAAGGTTGGTGTTTGTGTGTATACTCCATCTCCCCCTCCTCGTCGTTCATTCATGTCAAATTCTGATAATCCTTCATTTATAGTACTTTGAAAACAAGAGGGTCGTTGTCAGGATACAGAAATGTTTAAAAGAAAATTGGCAGCTTTAGACCATCATGCCCCGGACTCTGTGAACATAAATGGTAAGGCTTATGTAGATTTTGTAGTCTGTCACCCAAGCCGGCTAACCTCGCGAGGCTTCAACTGAGATGAACTTACAGCAATTTTGTTGGGAAGGCAACATCAACAAAGTCTCGTGGCAATCATGTTGTTTTCTTCCACCGCTGATGCAACATTTCATGTCACTTTTCTAAATATTACTTTCTCAGAACATTTATTTTCTATTGTTTCTTTATCTTAAGTAAATTTAATAGATACATTTGGATTATTTTTGTTTCAGATGAAAAAGAGATAAAGAATCTTGTGTCTTGGCTGGAAAATCAGAAAATCCGCAGATACAAGATCGAGGACCGAGGCCTACTACAAGCTGATGGACCAGAGTGGCATACTAACTTTGATAAATATTGCAAAGATTTAGCAAGCCCAGTTGTTGATGGTTCTATGGCAGAAAAACTTGAATGGCTTATCGGGTATGCTGTGAGCTTGGAGTATGCTGATGATGGTTGGTAGAGCATGTCACAGATGCATTGAAATTAAAGATAATTCAAAATTAATATCATTTTACTACTATGTACATTTTTTGTTTTACCAGTTGAAAAGTACAAAGGGCAAACAGCAGAAAATGTTGGCAAGGCTACTCCAAATGTACCTAAAATAGAATCTTCAAATCCTCTAGACAATATGGACTGTAAGTATTTTGACAATGAAAGACTGTAAATATGTTTTCATTATGTAAGTTATGAATCCTGCTCTGAGAACATCAATAGCTACTCAAAATTTTACTCTTACAGTTGAGTCACCTGATTTTAAGAAAGGCGTCATAGCTTTGGCACAGATTTTGAATATAACTCCTCATCCAGATCATTTAATCACCCTGAAGGCTGTTAGTAAAGTTGTCAGAGAGAGATTGAGTCAAGAAGCTTTAGACAACCCTAACAACATTGTTGTCAAGGTAGGAAAATGAGTCCCTAAAATCTTTCTTCTAGATGTTCCTTAGAAATAATTCACATTATTTATTTTGTTTATTTTGCAGGGCAAACCATTCCCCTTTCAAGAGGCTGACTTGGGCTTTGACATGGGTGACTATGTCTTGAACCAAGCTGCCAAAATTTTACGTCTATTGTACATTCATGATTTAAGGGACCTCCAAACTAGCATTAATGAAACTATTGTTGCTGTTCAATCTATCACAGCAGATCCAAAGACTGACACTAAACTTGGTCAAGTAGGACGATAGGTGATAGCTAGTCATTAACCCTCTTTTGTACATTGCGCTCTTATTTTCCCTTGCTTGTTTATGTTTCTTTAGCTAATTAGAAAAATAATAGTTTAAATTCATTGTATTTTGTCACATTGTATTGTCAAGTATTGGCAAATTAACAAGAAACAATGAACTTGCATTTAACAAAATGCATAATAATAATATACAATTATAAAAATCTACTTATTTAAATTTCTCTAGAGTAAATACTGAACTGGTTACTTATTCAACCCGTATATACCTCATGAGATGAACCACTGATCTCATTTTGAGAACATTACAATAACAGCGCCATGTCACAAGTTGAAGATTCCACTTTCAGGCACCTTCTTGCTTGGCCCTAAACATGCCTCCGAAAGGTGGTAAGTCAAAGCCTCGTGCTAAGCCAAGTGCACCTAGAGCTGAAACAAAAGCAGAGAACTAGACATAGAAACATGTAAAATGAGTGTCCGTAGAGCTGAAAATAAATACCGAGTAGCGGTATTTACCTGATGCCACTGCGAGAACACCAATTCGCTTGAGCCCAGAAGCTGGAGCATGCAAAGCTATGTAGGTTCCACCTCCAATTCCATAGGCCGCACCAAGGGCGCGACACATGACGCAGTCCACCTTTGGAGATGTTTCCATTGTTGGAGCCGAAGGAACACTAGGTGACATAGGCAAACTCCGCGGATAAAATGCGCATCAGAAAGATGGCACGGTCAAAATAACACGAAAACAACAAACAACCGGCGAGCTGCGATAGCAGACGTCAACGCCCTGCAGACGATCTGTTGCCAACGTCACAAAGCCTTCTGCTAAAACAATCAGGACTCAATATTGATTAATGACATTATTGTATACCCAGAATAATATACAAAGAAACTGAATTTAAATACTTTTAAAATGTTTTTAAATAAATTGCCATGGTTGGGGAAGTAAAATTTTAGAATCGAGATTTAATCAAAGGTTTGCGAGCTTGGTTGTGTTGTAGTCGTTGTCGGCGGTCCACTTAACCTATATCGTTTGAGAGTTGTTTGGAATCTTGGCCCTTTCTCAAGTTGGAAGTTACTCGTATTGTAAGCTGAAATTTGTATTTTTCAGAGAGAAAATAATATTTTGTGTCTTGTTCAGTCCATACAGTCCTGCCTTAACAATATGTGAATATTAACAATATGTGAATACTATTTGTGAATGACTTTTGTATGGAGTCCCACAAAATTTTAGGCTAATAGTGTTTCTAATTTCTAATTTTCATGTTTTCCCCCCTAATTTCAGCATTATGGCGCAGAGAGGACTGCCACAGAGCAAAGAGGCCCTTCTCAAATCCTACTCTGCACGACTGAAAGATGATGTGAAGTCACTCCTGGAGAATTTTGAAGGTAGGTTATGAACTATTATCCTTCGGTCATCACAAAATACTTTTTGCACACTTTGAGTTTTGAATGAAATATGTCCACCTTACACATTTCTTATCTATTTTAGAAATTGTCAAGCTGGCCAAAGGTGAAAGTGATTCCCAGCTTAGCCGTATGACACAGTGTGAACAGGATACCTATGAGATGCATGTTAGGTCTGCAAACATCGTAAGTTAAGATTTTCATTTTCTAAGTACCACTTTTGTATTTTCCACCTGATGTGCTTTTATATAATAGCTCTTCTTCTACTCTTTTAGGTTCGCGCTGGAGAATCACTTATGAAGTTGGTCTCCGACATTAAACAGTACCTTATCTTGAATGATTTCCCCTCTGTCAATGATGCAATCACTCAGAACTCTAAGCTATTTCGTCAAAAACAAGGTGAGGCAGATCAAAAGCTCATGGTTTTGAGGGACGATATGGCTGCAGATCTTTATGATCTCGAAGAAGAGTATTATAATTCCGTTTACAAGTGCAGAATAGCAGACTAAATAATTTTCATTATTCTGGAACAAGGAATGGATTTAAAATTCCAAGTTCAAGCATGGTTTGTTTGTTTATTTTGATCCATAAGAACTGCCCATTTTTTTGTTATTTTTTTGCTAATTTTAATGGAAATTAAAGTAACCAGGCCAGATTAGAATTATTAAGTGCTACATCTCCATGTGATATAATTTAAGTATAGCTTTATTTTAGTTTAATGTCTATTTACTTGTAGATCTTAATAAACTTGTAACTATCCAACTGATTTTGATACAGATATTTATTTTTCCTGTACAGAGATATTGTCTGTCCCTTGTAAAAAATAGGTGTAAGTTAATTGTGGCCAGTTTATTGGGAGTACATGAAAATGTGATGGGCACATAAGTAAGAACACAGCATAAGAAAACTTTACTTTACTTCAAAAAATTGCGAATACAGTTTTGTGCAGTGAATGCAGCTCTAATCATGGTGTATATTTTTTTCTTTCTGAGATCTTTTCAAATTTCAAACAAACAAGGATGCTATCTTCTTTCCTCTAGTCTAAGTAACTTTATGTTAGTTAAGAAAAAATAAAAATGCTGATAGGTTGCATGAACCAATTATAAAAGCAAGTAATGAACAAAATAGGTCAATTGGGAATTTCTCATCACATTCATGCATACTTGTTTATAATGGCAGCTAAACAAGTATGGACTTAAATTAGGACTGTTGAATTACTATATTGCCTGATTAATTGCAAGCAATCCAATTCCCATTTCCCAGATCATGAAGGAATTAAGCTCATTCAATGACAATAAATTAAACAACATGTGGAATGATAATAAATAAAAGTTGATGTGAATAAACTCAGAGCAAACTAGGGAATTGGATTCCAGACAATTCTGCTCAGTTTATCACACTTTGTATAGTATCACATATTTTGTTTCAGTAAGACAAACTGCTATATTTAAAATTAACATCATTGGTCAAGACGGGAAGCGTGAGGAGTAACGCGTTAGTAGATCTCAAACACACAGAAAATAAATCTAAAAATTATTGAACAAAGACCTTTAGGTAGCCAAGGTATTGGGAGTGCTTGATTCCAAAGGTGTGAGCCGGAGGAACATCCAGTTGTACCTGCAAAAAGCCAATTGCAGATTATGAAGTGTTTCAATATGTTTTGACTGGTTTGCTTACATGATGGGCCATAGTCTGCACCTCTTGCAAGAATTTCAACAACCCAAGAATTCATAGTAAAGTTGTTTTGGAATGGGGGTAAATGAAGTATTTTACTTTTACGTAAATTGAAGTTATTCCCCCCCTGAGGTTTGCCCTATCCCTCACATGTTAAACAGTTATTTAAAATGGCTTTTTTTTTTTTTTTTTTTTTTTTTTTTTTTTACTATCAGTGCTGCTATGCATCAAAATTCAAAGCATAAAGAAAGTTATGTAAAGAGAGAAAGAAAATATGGTCAAAATATCAAAATAGTGCCCGTAACTAAAATCTACCTTTGCAAGCCAGGTAAAAGGAAAAGAATTCCCATGGTAGAACATAGTTGTCAAAAACTCGTCAATGGCCCTCATTTGACGTCTATATGAGCTCAATCTGGCTGGCTCTGGCTACCTAGCCACTGTAAATTTTGACGATAGGCATCAAAATGTGGTAATTTTAACATCATTTTGACAAACGTGTTCTTGGGAAAATTGAATTTACTTATGTGGAAAGAGGCTTTGTTAACTTTTGTCAGTCTCTTTCTTTCTTTTTCAAGGATTGCTCATAGCTGTCTTTTGATTTGTCGACCAAGAGAGGGCTTTCCTCTATTGGCCTGCGTGCCTGCGCTTCGCCTACTCTCTACGCAGCTACGCGATACCTAGCACGGCAACATGCACGGCGGCTCCGTGATTTTGATGTGGATGTAGGGCGAGTGTTTGATGCCGAACGTGTAGCTCGGCGAGGCACGATGGATACCCGACACCTGGAGAGCATAGAGCTGGCCAGTCAGTCTGCAATGGCAGGGCGTCGCCTCCCGGGCCTCCAATTGTTAAGGAATGTTAAGGCTTTACTGTACTTCAAATAGGTCTCAATACTCTGCAAAAATCTGAAGGCGGGGAACACACTATGTTCAAAAATGGTAGGGTAAACATAATTTACTGGACCACACTGCTTGATGTCGCCGATGTAGAAAATATATAAAGTACACAGAGATGCGCTGCGGGTCACAGTCTGTCATCAGACCACAGCGGCATATTGCTGTTAGACGCTCATATGTATGGATGTATTGTCAATAACGCCATCCCGCACCCTCCGTCCGCCTCCGTAAGCTCATCGTCGTGGGCCGTCTTACCTTCTCCGGGCAGTGGGCACCGGGCCCGGGCTTGAGGGTGGCGTCGGAAGGCACGGTGAAGCGTGAGCTGATGGAGTAGGCGGGCGAGCGGTTGTGGTTGTTGTAGCAGTCGGCCACGGAGGGCTCGTAGGCGCCGGGCCCGGGCACGAGCGCGCGCTCGTCCTGCGGCTCCTTCTGCCGCCCCGAGATGCTGAAGGCGGGCGCGGCCTTCTTGTTGCCCTCCAGCGTCTTGCCCAGCACGGACGGGATGTTGTACACGTTGGGGGCTGCAAGAGAGGCGAGCGGTCCGACGACCAGGGCGTGAGTGAGTGAGTGGTCGGTCGTGGATGCGCAGAGCGCAGAGCGCGCGTTGCAACGTCCTGTTCCTCCGAGCCGCGGGCATTCCCTTCCCACGCGCAAGCTAGAAGCTAACGCAAGATATACTGAAGCACGACGCCGCTCTACACGGCACCGGTTACATGTTACGCATTACTCGCACAAACTATACAAGACAAACTACTGAAACGCACAACAAATAGATTACACTAAATCTCAAATAGAGGAGCACGCTCTTACCGCGGCGCTGAGTCGCTGCATCATCACCTGCTGCTCACTTACACAATCGGCCCGGCCAGCGCCCCCCTAACCTGCCGCCACTGTCAACACACGCGGAGCGCTGCGGGGGAGGGAAGTCCTCCCCACCGCGAGCGCCGTCCGGGTAGGCAACCCATTCGGCCCGGGAGCGCCAAGTGACACTCCAGCCAAGTACAGGAGGCGGCTCGCCGCCCACCCACATTCGGGAGACAAAAACACGATAACCCCGTAGGGTAAAAAAAAAACTCAGAGGTTGATGTTGGCGGTGTTTATTCTCTTACCGGGGATGCCGTTGGGCCTCTCGATCTGGGTGCGCAGTCCGAAGGTGTACTCCGGGGCGTGGTCGTGCACGTCGGGGTTGTACGCGTTGGGCGCTGCGGACAAACGGAGGGGCGTTAGCATAATATCAGCGCGAGATGCGGTGCTCGATACTGCGCCGGCCGATCCAATATGCGGCCTGACGGTGACCCGCACGTCCTGCCCCGGCCTAAGTATACCCAGCACGACCCTGGAGGTACAACGAAGAGGCAGAAAGGAATCGATGGGCCACGTATGACACCTGAGGGCCAAACCTTACGTCACCGGCCCGTCATTTTTCTCCCCCATCGACTTCTTGTCTGTCGCTCCTAGAGCGAGGGAATGATTGTAGCCGTTGCTCTCACGCCCTGCTCACCTGGATAGTTGCTCGGCTTTTCGATCGGCGTTTTCAAGCCGAACGAGTAGTTTAGGCAGCAGTGCGTGAGTTTGTCGGGATTGTAAGCGTTTGGCGCTGCGATCAAGGGAAGACACATTCAGCGAGACAGTATATGACATTCACAGTCGCCCGAATAAAAGCAGTTCGGCAGGAGCGTATGAGCAGGGGGCCATTGCGTTTGGCTAACCTGGAGTGTCTGCCGGCTTTTCCAGGGGCGTCTTGAGGCCAAAGCTGTAAGCTGTCACCGTCTCCGGCAGGTCAGGGTTGTACGCGCAGGGGGCTGGGTCATAAACAGAGCGGAGTACAGTGCAAGGTCGTGTCGTGCCCGCAGTGCAGTGCAGTGGGCGGGGTGGGGGGTAGGGGGTCGGCTGGTGGGCGTGTTATTATTAGCGGGGTGGTTAAGAAACTTGAAAACTGACCGGCTGCTGTAAAATGCATCGCTGGGTAATTCCATATCCATTATTACTGTACCTGGAGTGTCGCTGGGTTTCTCCAAAGGTGTTTTCAGACCGAACGAGAAGTTTGGTGTGTGTGTCGGTTTGTCCGGGTTGTAGGCGTTGGGCGCCGGAGTGTCCAGGGGTTTCTCCAAGGGCGCCTTCACGCCGAAGCTGTAG